TTCCTCACTATCAAGTTTCCAGACTTGGACCGAATGCGGGTTGACAGCAGTCATCGCCAATATATTTTGAAGATATTTCTTGGCTTACGGTACTACCAATGTATCCAAACAACGAATAGGCCTTTCCGGTATACACATTGATCATCGTGCAATGTCAACTATACCTTATTTCATTCTTCTACATGGCAATCACATAAAGTAGCATCCGGAGCAAAGAACTCGTGCCGTTTCATCTTATGTACCTTTTTCAAGACGCCACAACCGTATGTTAAGGAAAATTCCCTGCAGATACGCATGTCTGACATTTCGGTACTTCAGCTAATCTTGCTAATAGATTGGTATTTTAAATAGAGCCATAAAGTCTCTGTTTCCTTGATTTCTGGTTTGTATCAACTACTCCTGTGTTCGCACAAGAGTTCACAAGTTCCTGGCCAAAGGAAAGTAACATACTGGGCGGAGAACTTCATCCGGGCTTCAAGGGAATCCTTGAAAAAAGAGATAGGATTGGATGATAACGTGGCAATAGCGTAAGTGCGTCTCGGCCGGCTGCATACCACGAGTGAGTTGACCTGGTTTTCTTTGCTTCTGGCTCCCAAAATGGTGTGATGTGTGCGGAGATATAAAGCTAGACATTATATCATCCCCTCACTTCTTTTCCCCTTCTTCAATCCCACAGAGTCCAGCGGCTTTTAATCACGATAAATCAACTCAACTATCAATACCCACACAACCACGAAGCAAGACCTCCCAGAACATTATAAAAATGCTCGGAACCGATATCCTAGCCTTGGTCCTTCGCATCGGCCAATTTGTTTTCAGTACCATCGTCGTTGGTCTTACTAGTTCACATCTTCACTCAGCCAGAACTGAACCATCATGGTCTAAGAAACGATTCATCTACACCGATATTGTTGCAGCTTTAGGTCTATTCTTCTCTCTATTCTTCATGTTGCCGTTCACTTGGAACTTCATTCATTGGCCCATCGATTTCCTGATGTTTGTTATGTATATGATTTCTTTTGGTTTACTTATCGATGTATGTCATATATTTCTTTACTCTATTCATTGCTCCTTCCTCATTCCATATCCCATCCCCAAACTCTTTTCCTTGTCATGGACATGATATATCTATAGCTGCACATGACTAATTGCAACGGGTAAATATAGTTCATCACACCACTCAAGTGCGGCAGTAAATTCAACTGGCACGGCGTCTTTGGTTCTTCCGCTTGTGCGAGATGGAAATCGGATGTCGCTTTTGCATTCCTGGCTTCATTGTTCTTCCTCGGTTCTTTTCTCCTGGTATGCCCCCCCCCCTCTTCTTTTCCCTCCAATTTTCATCTCCTTCATCTATACACTACTTCGCTCCTGTTCAACAATCCCAATCACACTGTCCATCAATCCATCTCTCCCCTCTAGCATAATACTAACACCTCATCACAAAGGGAACATATACCCACCACCGCAACCGCCACACAGTTGTCACCGACCAACCGGCCAATGGTCAACAAAGCAATGGTCTCAGCGGTGCACGCAAGAGGTGGTATCGATCGCGTGCCGATCCATCGCGCATCTGATTTCTGCGCTGTTCGCTTCACTTTGAGTTTCGATGCGATTCCATCCCGGTTATGGATGTGAAGAGAAGTGCGATATTTCTGGGCTTGGGAAGGTGGAGAAGGGGAGCTTGGGAGGAAGTAATAATGAGACGATGGGACTGGATATGAACTATATCCCTTTCCTTTTTCCCCCTTACTTCTTTGCTTTTGTCTCTGTATCTTTTCTCCTTGAATTCTTTCCCTAATTCTTATCGACAAACATACAGACAGGCAGGCAGGTTGATTGGCTGTATGTCTATTACCGTACATTACGATGGGAAGATGAGTGATTTCATTGAACTTTCCTTGGATATTGTTTTCATGTACTTCTACTTTGTGTGTAGGTCCCTCTTAATATGAATGAAACTATGAAAGCGCATATTTGATTGATACATAAACTTTCCTCACCTTCTTCTCGACATGGAAATGATGCGATATGATGTGATATGATGAAACGATAAAAAATGATAACATCAAAAAGAACTTCTAAATATCGATACTGTCTCTCTGGGATAATCTTACATATTTCCATTCCTATTGCATCACTCACTCAATCAGTTTCCACTCCCGACACTTTTATTTGATGACCACCAGGACTCCTTCAACTCCATTTCCAACTCCCCGTTCACTTCCCCGTTCATACATACAAGCATCATAGTTCATCCTTTCCTGCCGCAACAGGGGTCTCAGGCCTTCCACTATCTTTTCCCAAATCGACTCCATTCTTCTTCCTCCACGTCTCCCATAGAGCCCAGAAATCTTTCTCCATACCCTTATCCATTTGATCCGGTAACACGACTGTGTACTCCACAACCAAGTCTCCGAATTTCGTATCGTGATAAACACTGTCTCCATCCTCGTGCCATTTTGGCATTCCTTCTCCTTTGACATGTTCCACGTGACCCGGTTGAACAGTCTGTCCTCTTTCGCGAGAAAGTTGCACAATGTGTCCGTCCAAGTGTGTGAGATTTCGAGTCCATGATCCCATCCATGCTTCTCTTAATGAGAGAATTTCGCGCCAATGAAGATCATCGCCCTTACGACGGAAGAATGTCCCGTCAACCTTTAATTCGTTGTCTTCTTCAAGGTTCGCTTCCTTCTCAACTAAAGTAACGTGAAGATCACCGGCGACCCAGTCGGGAGATTCATCGGCTTCGTTTTCATAATTTATTGTTCGGCCCTTGGGGGCTCCGCGCTCGATAACGAGTGAATGGGTTTGGACTTTGCGGATGACACGAGAACCGGAACAGACGGGACATTTGTGTTTGATTGTTTTGCCTTTGCCGTCGCAGTGGTCACATTTTACCTGTACTTGTTGGAAGATTCCAGGCGCGAGTTGATGTTTCTTTAGTTGGACTCCGTGGCCGTGGCATACATTACATGTATCGACTTGACCGTCCGCAGATCCAGATCCCTCACATTCCTCACAAATCATTTGTTTCTCGAGTTGAAATTCGGTGGTATGTCCATTGTAGAAATCGCGGAGGGGTATTCCTACTCGTACTTCCATATCGGGTCCTTTTCGTTGTCCATGACCGCCGCCGAAATGTCCTCCTCCACCAAAGAATCTGGAGAAAAGATCGAAGGGGTCGTGGTGACCTCCACCTTGTCCTCCTTGTTGCCTTTGTTTTAGTCCTTCGTGTCCATATTGATCATAGATTTTGCGAGTTTCTGGTACGGAAAGGGCTTCGTAAGCTTCGGCGATTTCAACAAACTTTTGTTTCGCTGTTTCGTCTCCTCTGTGTATCATATTAGCAGTGATTTAAGCTAAAATCGAGGGGTGATACATACGGATTCTTATCCGGATGATACTTCTTGCTCAAAGTCCTATATGCGCGCTTGATATCTCTTTCTGAAGCTTGCTTGTCTATACCCAGAAGCTATTACAGAATTAGCATTTATTCCATCTTCCATCCTCTTAAACTCCAAACTCGGCAAACTTCTAGAAGCTACAGAGAAAGAAGAACCTACTTGGTAAAAGTCCTCCGCGCAAGCTGCCAATTGCAGTATGCACAAGAATAAAAAGGCAAAAGGTAACCACATCTTTGCGCCAGATATGCGCTCACAGGGAGCTAGATAGATAATTTCTATACACGAATTGAAATATATGAATCACAAGAAACCATGCGTATGTAGTTGCGGAATATCTAGTAAGGGTAGAGTTGCAAAACAAATCAATGTATTGCTCAATACAAAGGAACGTTAACTTCTATGTATTGTGTTGGATTTACAAAGAACACTGAAAAAGATACCAAGCTGGCCTTATTGATAGCATCGATAAGAGATTACAAGGGTCGATGAGATTTCATACGTTGGTCTTTAGCGTTGCTTGGTGCGATGGCTAGTCACGTGTGTTTGTCGGTATCCCAATTTGGTGACCTGCAGTCGAACGATGGCCAGGGACATTCTTTAGATTCCACTTCGATTTCATACAACAAAGTCACCTCCAACGTTTGATCCCTTCAAGAGGGGTGTCTTCTCCGAGTTTCAGTACAAAGTTAAGGGTAATGATCCATAATCCCTTGGAGAGCAACATGCTTTAGATCTAGGCTTCCTACTGCATAGTCTTCTAGATTTCAGGCTACTCAAGAACTTCAAGACCAAACATTTTGCATTGTTGAAGAAGCAAGTACGGGATTGAGGTCTGTCGCCAGAGCGTTAACAAACGACCTGCGAGATGCGAACTGAAATACGTGGAAAATAGACATTCTTCGCGACAAGCGGAAGGAGGATTTTCAAAAAGATCGACTTAAAGGGGTTTGCTAGTGCTGTCCTGAGACGATAGAGTGCGAAGTCCTGGAATACCAACCCAATGGAAACCTGTTTCTTTCTTGGTAAAAAGTGAGCGGCAGTTACAGCAGAGCTATCTATGATTTCCAAATGATGCAAAGAATAACAAAGAGGCACGTTGTATGATCAGCCGTGGTGTTACATGATCTTTGAGAATTTCTCTATGAGACCGGGGTCTAGACTGCATAGTTTTGGGAGCCTAGGTTATTGTCTCCAAGTTTGATACCAGGCAGGTTCGAAGTCTTGTCTAGTATAGGTAGGTAGATACTGTTCCGCAAATCTATTAGCCGAATTTCTTCGAAACTTCATTCTTGCGTTCTGCCCCGTATTATCTCATTGGACCAATCTGACAACATATCAAACGAAACCACCAGCGTGGCTGTGGTTCCTGATGACCCCTGTCTTGAACCGAAGATCTGGTTTTGACCCCTGCGATAATGTGACGTCAGCTCTCAGATTCATCATTCCTGTCGCCTCTACATGTGTATATGAATGTGTGTGTATCCAGATAGGGCAGATCAATTTCTACCAATATCGAAAACTACAATCTTGAACTAAGCAGTCGACTTTTCCCAAACATACCATCAAACAAACGAGTAAAAAAAAGAGAACAATATGCCTATCAACGATAAATCAGGAGTTTCGGGTGGTGTTACATGGGTCACTAGTACTGTTGGGTATGTTGTTTCTCTCCTCTTTATCTTTCTTTCCCTTCTCTTCTCCTATTCTCTTCTTCCCTCTCATGTTATATTGCATTCGGTCATTTCGGCCTTCTCAGCAATCCCCTCATTCATCCCCCCCCACATTAAGGTTTTCATCTCACGGAACGAAACTGAGACTAATACAACTCAATAGCAATGGCGTCTCGGGGGTCACAAACACAGTAGGTGGTGTCGTTGGAGCTGTTGGGCGAGGATTGGGAGAGACTGTAAATGGAGTTACCGGAAACGCAGGTTTGTCATCCTTTTACTTTTCTTCGCTATCTACAAGCTCTGCCCAATTATCTTGGACTAGGGGCAATTTTGTTGAACAAGGGAAAACGAAATAACGATATTCGAAGGACATTTATAGAGAAAGACAAACATAAGCTAAAAAATGTGTATTAGGTAAACCAGTAGGCGACGGTATCAAAGATATTGGAGAGGGCATTGAAGGTGGAGCAGCACGTGTAGCGAAGGGAGTCAAGAATGCGGGGGAGGGTCAGCATGGACCTTTGAGATGAAGATTATCTCTTTCGGGTTCAGGGTTTGGGCAGTCTGCGGATTTGATATGATACCAATGCTTTTTCTCTAAATGGGCCGTCTCCTAGAAATATATGACAAATTTGTTGTTTGAGATAAGCATCGTCATTTGATACTTATCTATAAGATGATAACTATCCATCGCATATCGTGAAGAAACGGGATGATATGGCACTGCATCTATGTTTTATAGAAAGCATTTGACTCCCTCGTATAAGACTGAAGGCGTAATTTCTATCGTATCAACATTCTTGGAGGAAATATAAGCGATGATTGGTTCATCATTCGTTAGGGCATTTCGATTAAGGATGCCATCATTTTACCAGCTCAGAAACCACTCTCTGGTTTTTCCGAGATATATGTATTTTACATCTGAAAGATATGGCCATCCATTATACTTCCAACTTGGGCCCACCTATATCCCCAAACCAGCAAAAGTTTCCCCATGTCTGACGCCAAGCATCTTATCAGCACCCCTGACATCCACCCGAGCTTATCATTATCAAAGTTTCGTAAAGCATAGGAAGAATATAGTGTCGGCGATCTGGAATAACGAGAATAACGATTTTGATGGTTGGGCGAGGTGAGATAAAAGACGGATGGAGAAATGCCAAGAAGGTGACCGTTGAATCGAGGTCTCTTATAGATTTCCGAGGAGGTGCTTTGTTAGATGGATGATAAGAGGGTGAGGGTCTGGGATGAAGTTTGGGTCCTTGGAATGAGATATAGGGGGATGTGAAAGATGGAATGGAGTACTTAATACTTAGGGTCTTCCCCCTTTAAATAGAAAGTCTTGCTCTCCATATATATCTACCAGGAGCGGAGCTTCTTCATACACAGCCTAATATTGATCAACACCATCCAGCACCATGAGTGCCCCCGTCTTCAACTCCTCCATCCCCGATGGCGGCGATCCCAAACTCATAGACGTCAATGCTCAATACTCCGGACTCGAATTTCACTACACATATATAGTTTTCTGCGGCTTCATCGTCTGGCTCATCATTCCCGGCATCGGACTCCTCTACAGTGGACTCGCGCGACGAAAATCCGCTCTCGCCTTGTTATTTCAATCGCTTCTCGTAGCGGCAGTGACGACTTTCCAATGGATGTTCTGGGGATACTCACTTGCGTATTCACGTACAGCTGGTCCTTTCATTGGCGATTTGGCGAATTTCGGACTCAAGAATGTGATGGCTGCGCCGTCGCCAGGTAGTGCTGTGATTCCAGAAATCGTATTCTGTTTGTATCAGTTGCTTTTTTGTGCGTGCACAGTGCAAATTGTAGTTGGTGGTGCGTTTGAGAGAGGAAGAATTGTACCGAGTTTGGTGTTTGGGTTTTGGTGGGCAACAATCGTTTATTGTCCAATTGCTTGTTGGACTTGGAATTCTAATGGTTGGTTGTATAAAGTAAGTTTCTCACTAGTTGCAGATTTTGGGTATGTAAAGTAGACTAATCAAGGAAAAAGCTCCCTTCATTGGATTTTGCTGGTGGTGGACCAGTTCACATTGCATCTGGGTGGTCTGCATTGGCGTATGCTCTTGTACTAGGAAAGCGCAAGCACACCGGCGAGAAGTCCCATGGAACGCCACACAATACTACACTCGTATTCTTAGGAACAGTCTTAATTTGGTTCGGATGGTTTGGATTTAATGGAGGTAGTGCTTTGAATGCTTCCGTCAGAGCGATGCTTGCTGGGTTCAATACCAATACTGCTGCATGCACTGGAATGCTTGGATGGGTGCTTGTCGACTACGTCAAACATGGTGGCCGATTTAGTCTCGTGGGAGCCTGTGAAGGTGCCATAGCCGGACTTGTGGGAATCACTCCTGCTGCAGGTTATGTTTCCGTTTGGCTGGCCGCAGTCATTGGATTCATAACTGCAGTAGTTTGCGCATTGTTACAGAATGTAAATGAATGGCTTCATATCGATGAAGGATTGGACGTCTTCAAGCTTCATGGTATCGGTGGAATGGTGGGAAGCTTTTTGACTGGAATATTTGCAACATCCTCTAGTATGTATCGTTACTCTTGATAGCATAATTCCCACGCTAATTTCAAAAACAGTCAGTATGCTCGACGGAGTCACTTCCGCTTCAGGTGGTATTGATGGCAATGGAATTCAAGTGGGTAAACAGTTTGCAGAGATCACCGCGATATCAGCTTACTCATTCCTCGTATCTTGCGCTCTTCTCTATATCCTGAAAGTCATTCCAGGAATGCACTTGCGAGTGACAGAGGAGGCTGAGATTCAAGGCTTGGATATGGATCAATTCTTCGATGAGCAGATCGGTGACTGGGCAATATTTGAGGAATTGGATCAACGAAAAATAATATTAGAGGGAAGCTCGCCTGGAACCCCACAGGTACAAGAAGTACAAGGCCAGACAGAGCAGACCAAGAAGGTATAGAATGTTGGCGAAGGATTGTGTATGTCATTCCACCCTTCTAATCAAAGTAGAACGTCCATTTCAATTAATCCATTCTCGCGATCTTTCGTCATTGACATGTGAAACTGCATGACAGTAATATTTCGCGGTAGCAAAGGGCATTGTTGAGCCCGTCGCTCAAAATTTCAACGTCATTAGACCTATGTGAACCTGTAAACACTAGGTATAAATGCAGGATGCTTTTCTGAGGTTCATAATGTAGACTGTACTTCCCACAACACTGTGGACGAAGTCGTTTTCCTTCCTCCACGAAAATAAACGCCCTTGGTCGTACAATCCACGCCGTCAATGTTGTATATTGCACTGAAGAACATGTAGCCGAGCATCTGCCAGATGTAAAGCAGACCTCCCGAAGAGTAGGTTTTTCATACCCGAGATTCTGGGCGCTTAGAATCCGAATAGTTTGTATAAAATGAGCTAAAATCGTACTAGAGCTGATAATTGTGGTCAAGCCCATATGGATAAAGTAACGACACTTTTCTAATCATATCTAGATCGCAATCAGGTTTCGTCGCCGTGAAATTTTGCTTGATATCCCATTTATGATTCTTGGTGCCCCACACTGGTTCAAGAGGCTGGGAATAGATAGATGTCTTCACGTTATCGATATTAACCCAATGCGTTTGAAGAGAAGAATAATGGAGTTCAAATCAAAAGATCTGGTCAACGCGTACTCCACCATCCAAAAATAGAGTTTATTCTGGAGTGATGTCAGAATTTAGCTTGTTGCGTGGGAAATGGGGGTAGAATTGTTCATGTTGATGCTTCGGGTGCGTGCACTATAAAGTTGCAATACCCGCTAGTATTAACATCTTGGAGCCAGGCGTGCCAGGTTAAAGACGCCAACACACGTGGATTCAAACGCAAAATCTTTCTACAACAAAAATTTAAGATTTCTTCAATATGTATTCGAATCCTTCCGCCCACATGGTAATGGAACGCTATTGACAAAAAAATTGATACGGGGCAAGCTTGCCTTCTTTCAATCGTGAAGGATCTCCCAGGATCAACACTGGCTAACCCACACATTGGGTCAAAATCAATGCGGCGAACCTTCCCGCTGCCAATCACTGACTCAAAAATTCCTCCATCCGAGTATATCACGGGTTATAAAGGTACACCTGGTCCTGTGTGCTTCCAGAATTCTTCCATTAATGCAAGGGTTCGGAATGCATGATATCTGGTTGGTCAATTAGATCCATAGGAATATGACAGAACTAACCCCCATGCTGCTTTCCATCTGGTATCTTACAGATCTTGAGATGGGCGGCGAGAGACAAACGACACAAAATCCTTAGTGGCATGATATGTAAAAGTACAGACGCCTTTCAATAACAGCTCAGTGTTTGTTTCTGGTACCTAGATATATAAAGTCTGGCGTCACCATTGATTATCATTCCGATCTTCAGCTGCATCCTCGTCTTCTTCATCTTCTTCTTCCTTGACTTCCTTTCGATATCTTCCTTCAAGTTCCAATCAATTATAAACATCGAAATGGCGATCTTCAAAGTTACTCCATTGCTTTTAGCTGCTGTCACGAGCTACTTCTCCCTTGGAGCTTTTGCCGCGGTGTTAAACATTACTTCCTCCCTCACTATTAATAGTGTTACATACCACAACGTTGAGTATGTCGAAAGAGATGTGGTCGTGATTGGTGGTGGATCCTCTGGAGCCTATGCAGCAATTGGTCTCCTCGACGCGGGCAAGACTGTGGCAGTCATTGACAACAAAGCTCGCATGGGAGGTCACACAGAAACTTATACTGATCCTGCAACTGGAGTTTCAGATGACTTTGGTGTTATCATCTTCCACAACATCGAACTTGTCAAAAACTATGCTGCACGTCTTAACATCACTTTGGCAACGGCCGACACAACAGAATATGTTCAATCAAGTGTATATGCCGATTTCCGGACCGGTCTTGAGAACTCTACTTTCACGACTGCTGACTTTACCGCTGGCCTCATGCTCTACATGGAACAACTTGCGAAATATCCTTACCTTGAAAATGGCTTTGATTTACCAAACCCAGTACCAGAAGATCTCCTGCTCACTTTTGGGGAGTTCGCAATCAAATACAATTTCGGCGATCAATTCCTTGGATTCATGTTCAACTTTGCTCAGGGTCTGGGAGATCTTTTGTCCAAGCCTACCTTATACGTGCTCAAGAACTTTGGTACCGGTGTCATCGAATGTTTTACCACTGGATTCTTAGCAACTTCTGCACAGGATAATAGCTTACTCTACGAATCGGCAAAAGAAATTATTGGTGACGACAGCGTTTTTCTGAGCGCAACAATCGTCTCAGTCGACCGAAGTGGTGATTCGGCTCAAGTTCTCATTAACACTCCTTCTGGCTACAAGTTCATCAATGCCCAAAAATTAGTCTCCAGCATTACACCTCAGATTAACAATCTTGCAGGATGGGATCTTAGCACCTCGGAGAAAACGCTTTTCTCTCAATTCAACAATTCCGGATACTACGTTGGTGTCTTTGGTAACACTGGTCTTCCAACCGGTATCTCCGTTGTCAATGTCGCCGATGACACCATCTACGGATTCCCACCTCTTCCAGCTGCTTACGCCATCAGCCCTACTGCTATCCCAGATGTCTTCAATCTTTACTACGGTTCCGCAGTCTCTATCTCTGACGACGAAGTCCGTGCTGCTATGTACGGCGAGCTTGAAAGACTCCAGATCACCGGTATGACCAAGAGTACCCCTGAGCTCCTCGCATACAGTAGACATACACCATTTGAGTTGTGGGTTCCAGCTGAAGCTATTGCTGCTGGTTTCTACAGTGATTTGTACGCCCTTCAAGGACAACGAAATACTTTCTACACAGGAGCTGCTTTCCATGTTCAAGATTCAACTATGTTGTGGCAATTTACTGAAGCATTGCTCTCTAACATTACTGCTAGCTTGGCATGAAGATTTCGTTTCTAAGGGGGTCTTTTTTGTACATAGTTTCAATGAAATTTTGTCAATGAATGAATGCATCATGGATGGATAAGAGATGGTAAGACATATATCCATAGCAAACAATATCAAAATGAAGCAAAGTCTATCTCATATAATAGTCCGGAAAGACCCCGACGTTTGAACTTGCCACTTTTTGGAGTGATTTGAAGGTTGCAATTTTGAGACTCCATTTGAGTGCTGTATCTTACTTTCACCTTCGCCTATCCGCATCAAAGTTCCGCAATTATCTCACCCATAGCTTAAGTAGCATCTGAAAACCACAATCAATCACTTCTTCCATACAAATTCAGTATGCAGATAAATCTACCTCTATCTTTGCTCCTACATGTACAAAGTACTTGCCATGTCTCGGCCCCACTCCCTCAATAGATTCCAGACCCATCACTTCTTCACAACTACCCGATCTATCCAATTATAGAACATCCCACCTCTGGCCCATCTAACCCACCAAATGCGCATTCGCTTATGCATCGTCCATCAACCGTTTAATTGCGAAGTTTCCTGATATTTTGGTATCTTTACTCGTACGAGACGATGACTCGGTTTTAGGGACGTAGAGGTATGGGTAAGGGCTTGGGTATCTTCTGGGTTCTTTCCGTGGTCATGGACAGGGTAGGAGTGAAGGGTGCTTTGATATCTTACATTCTTGTTTATTAGATCAGTTGAACTGTAAGACGGGAAGTTATTAAGTGTTTGAGAGAAAAAAAGAGCGCTTGAAAATGTCAGAAATTGGGAAAAAGTAAAGGTCTCACGTGTAAATCACGTGCATGGCTTTGATTTGTGATGGATGGTCTGTGCCTATCTTTTCAGCTGCTACATTCACAAAGCACGTTGATGACACCAAAACAATGCAAGGAGACAATGTTTGAATATAACGAAGGCCTAATTATCCCTCGGGCCAAGAATTGGGGTTGGCATTGATTTATCTTGGCCGCTCTTGAATTGCTCGCTATCTTCCTGATTGCATCAAACAGATGATATCCTTCCCTATCTACTATGTCCTAGGAGCCGGAAAGAAGTTTCTTCCCTTCACACTATTCTGGTTAGGAAACACTTCGTTAATGTTAATTCCCAAAAATTCAGTCCCCAACCCTCTGTGGATATAATGCCGTTATTTTTTCCTTCAAATCCTCGGCGCTCGTTGCGACTTCGAGTAAGGTCTCCCAATCTTTGATATACTGTCTAGTCTTCTCAAAATTATCTGTCCCAAACCCATCCCAAACCTGCTTATGACTCGGCACCACAATCTTTGGTTTCAGACTCTCGATCTTATCAACTGCTCTTATCCACTTCGCCCTCAATTCCGCGCTATTGGTCTCAACAAGATATTGAAAACATTCTCCATACACGGCATCGCCAGTTATCACGAACTCTAGAGAATGAACGTGTAAAATAGTCGTGTTATATGTATCCGACTGTCCGACTTCGACAGCTTGAAGCAAATCATCCTCAAGGTAAAACTTCCCATTGTGCGGTAATGGCTGGATCGTTTCCTTCTGGGTGCGTATCTGATCAGGAAACGTGGCAGACCAGAACTCGACAAATTCCGCACAACTCAATTGCTCGGCTGCATGTGCGATAGTTCGTTCAGTGGCTACAGCGATCACACCAGGGAAACGTTGTTGGAGAACTGGAATGCCAAAGAAATGGTCGCCATGTCCGTGAGTAATATAAATATGTGTTAAAGTTTTTTGGCCGATAATTCCAGAAACCCAATCTGCTAGCGCATGGGAGGTTTCGATGTTGACTGGAGCACCAACGAGGACGGCATTCGACTGGGAGTGTAAAAGAGGTAGGAGAGATGGTGTAGTTATGCGGTGGGTCAACAACGGGAAGCTCGGGAGCGTGGAAGACGTCCCATGAGAGGGGCGTTGCGGGATGCCGGATTGCAGTGGCCAAGCTGATCAGGGTGAGGATGAAGGAGAGAACTGATATGGAAGAAAACATTGTATTGATTGTTAAGCTTTACTTGTTGATGGATTTCTATTTGGATTGACTTTTACTGCTTTCTTGACAGAGTCTCTCTTTATATACATCTTTTAAATATCCCGAGGCATGCAAAATTACTCGTCTCCCCAAACGACGACCACAGCTTTGTCATATCGTGGTGCATTAAGTCCGCTCAATGGGAAGCCGCCATCGCAGATTGACACCCAGATAGAGATAATATCTCAGTTTATTCATCCAATACATGTTTAGTGAATATGTAATTCCGTTCACCATGAGATATAAAAACCTTCAAGCGAGCTTACATTTCAAGCGTTTTGCAAATTTTCAAGCGGCGCGAAAGACGTGTGCTCACGGCGTGAATAGTAATCACCGGAACACCAGAATGCAAATTGAGGTGGCTTTAAAATTATCATGGGTATTGTAGGTCGCTTCCCTATTTGGTTTTGAACGTTCCGAGCTACGAGAACGAAGACTGTGAGTTGTGGTCTCACGGTGGCGAATCTAGGGAAAGTTTCCCAGGCTAGCTTTTCCTTTTTGCATGTGCGAATCAAATTCAATGGAAAGAACAGTAGTCTGGTCTTTTTTCTCCATAGACAATCTATCGATAGATTCTGTATCGACAAGGGTTTCTCAAGTTTCACATTGTATCACCTATGAGCTATGTTCCACCAGCAAGCACCACAGTACCGCAATATTTACCTTACTTTGTGTAAAGGAAAAATTGTTAGTGGCTGCTGATAAAAAACGCTTCCGTCAAATGGAGGATGTCCAAAGCTTTCCAGTGGTGGAGGGTTGTGTTTACACTAAAACGCAACTATCCAGTTATAGATCGAGAAGGCTAGAAACCGGTCTTCTTTCTGTCCTCACGCTCCAATTATGGAAATCTCTTGTAAACTCATTTCTATCTCATTCACAAACATGGATATCTCACCCACATCTTTGTAGATTACAATGATGTTCTTTTAGAATGAAGAATTGTACTTTGGATCTGAATGGAATCTATGGAAGCTTCAATTGCATAGCAATTTCCGGATTGGGGTATTCTAATCTTCCATGAATCGAATTATGGCAAATTTAAAGACATTCTGCAGTGGAGAAGGTGCCGCAATTCGTGATCTCGCCTCGAACACGATCGCAAGTTTACCTTCGAATCACGTTTTCGGCTTGATAGGACAAACGCCCAAACCAAAAAATTCTTTCATTCTCATAATAAATTGAAAAAAAAAAGATGTTTAACAGAAAATCGTGCTCATGAATCATCCTGAGCTCAATCAAGATGAATGGAATTGAAGAAACCCAGAAGTTGGCTATAAAAGGCTACATTTCAAAGCTGCTCTTTCTCCCTTCTCCGTTTTTTATCATCAGATACAGCTCGATCTTTGAAAACATCATCTACCAGTTATCAAAAACACTCAAATCAACACTGGTAGTAAGACTTTCAATCTAAAGTAAGCTTCCAAACCTAGTAATTCAAGCAAAGCCGAACCTTCAGCTCAAGATCAACTACACCATCATCAAAACCTACTACACAATCAAGCCAATATTAATTATGAATCCCTATCACGTGCACGTCTATCCCTACCGTGCAGTACCTTCTCCCAGAGACCATCTCACTCGCACTGGTATCAGCGACTATTACGCATTTCCTCAAAACCGACTTCCACCTCTTAGAATTGTATACGGTAACAACCAACCAAATGAAGCTGTGCGAAGACCTATGAATGCGGGTAGACCCATGGAGCCGGATCCGAGAATGAATTGGTCTTATGCGTGTCCTCATGGTCGATATGTTGCATATCAGAGAATGGGATGGGGTCCGCGGTGGTGAGAGAGGGCTTTGAAGGTGTGGCGTGAGTTTGAGTGATGTGGGAGGATGGAAATTAGTTTGAGAACGGGAGGTGGCTGAGGATGGAAGCGATCCTTGGCAGGGGTGTATAGTGTACGGTTTTCACATGATTATTTTCAAGGATCTAGAGATGTAGATGAGAGACTAATAACACTTGTTCTTTATTCATGAAGTCCATACCATGATGCCCAGAATATAGATTATGCTGTTCGATACAAATAGTTGAGCCCGTATACTCATAATACAACATTACGGATCATCACAGATCGTTGAAGCGATTCCACAACGACTCCCCTCTTTCGAAATATTTAGAGCAATACCCCCTTGGTCACTCCTAGTAGATATGTGTTATGAATGGGGGTGATGAATGATCCTGATACGGTTTAATATCCCTCTTTAATACCGAACCGTAGCGACCCAACAGTAATGAATGCATGGTTCAATGCCATGGGTATGAGATCTCACAGCGAAACGACTGAAGGAACGATAACACGAGGCGGACGAGGTACACTTGAAGACATTAAAACAATCCATAGGAAGGAGAGCCAATGCACATACATTTCATCGATTCAAAATCATTCCCAGGGTCTGATCCACCACTTCCGGTACCGGTTCCAGCACCTGCGGCATCGCAAAACCCATTACAGTATTAAATTTCCCCCGCCCTTTAGGATCCTTGATTGGCGGAAACTTCAAGTCAACTTCCTGAGAATCGTATCCAGTAAGATGCGGAGACAAAGGTGGTTCCAGATCTGTTGTTTTGGGGCTGTGCAGATATATCCCGTTGTGACCTTCTTTTTTGTGGTCGTATGGAGATAGGGGTAAGCTCTCGAGGAGACAAAGTAGGTTTGGTATGTTGTGACCTTGTACTGATATGTATTGCGGAGTGAGGCGTCTGCGACAGATGAGACACCATGATGGTGTGGGATTTTTGGGATCCATCGCGAGGGTTGTGGATAATATTTTTGGATGATTTTGGTAATGGGTTTGATATTGAAGAATACGTAATTGATTGGTGAAGAATTCTGTTGGTATTGAAATAAGTGGTGCGCGGATGTATCGAATACCTTGATTTTTAGTTATAATGTCATGTACTGTGTTTGTAGTTCAGGAATGTAGAAAATCAGAATCTGAGTCATAGTTTATATATGTATTCATGTTCACTAATGGAAAGAGCCATTGCGATAGTGAGAACGATAGGAAAGAGGCATCGTGATGGAAGAGCAAGATTGTAATGGGAAGCTACTTCCTCGCTGAACCCAGTCTATTGTAGCTTCAAGTTCTCAGGTCTTTTGTTTCCACAGAGTAATCAATGAACACCATCAGACGTCCATCAACTCCAGAGAACTCGTCCATATCAATCTTGCGTTGAAAGTAGAGAAAGTTTTGGCTTGGAAGATTTCGCTGCCCGTTAAGCAACGCCATATCAATGATATCAGTTGTCCAAAGCAAAATGGATAGAATGTCGTCACTTGATCAGATCTGTTTCGTAATTGCCTAGCATGCTTCGCCTCGCTCCTCTTTCCAACATCTCGATGGATAAGGCATATCTCATTGGCGGAAATTCCCTTTCTTCATCATAACTAAGTCTTTCACACCTTTCTCCATCTGCTCCGGATTGATATCATTGTTGGTTCGAAAGTCGCCTTTAAAATGTTCCAGTTAGCCCTTGATACTTCTCAGAGATGTTGCCTTCTCTGGTGCTCTGGAGCCTCGTATAGATGAGGAGCATCAGGGTTGAAGATATTCGAAGCAATCAAGCGGTAGTAGATCTCAAATCCTCCAGAAGTTCATGCTGTCTTTTAAGTCAATCGAAATTAATTGGAAGTCGGCAACAGACTCCCCGAATCTACGTTGATGGTGCTTTCAGAGCGCACTGCGAGAATATGGGAGAAATTTACAGCATTTCTAGATCTGACTTATCTGTTGGAAGATTCTCATTTGTGGTGGCTGATCTTCTCAGGCTGGACTCCCGAAGCACTTGAGTGATCAGTGATCCAATTGAATGCCCGTTGCTTCGTTCCACATCCCAATACCCAATACGTGCATCTCATCGCTTCAATGTGCTTTTTTCATCAACATTCGCTTTGATTACGGCGAACTTCCCCACGCCATGTCGTATGATACTCCACTTTGGCCCTAAGAGCCAAGCTATACGGGGATGGGTGGAGACGAGGGGAATTTCGTAAGGCTACGGCAGAAGTAAACGAAGTCTCGGCTCCCTCAAGCTACCCCTGCTTTAACGTGGGGAATGGAATGCCATTGTGAGATACCACGGGTGGAAATTCAGAAAATCGGAAGTGAACACTTGCTGTATATCCATTGCATCGTATAGATTAGAAAAAAGATACGAATTCGAGATTGATTCTGATTTTTGGAGGTTACGGACAATATGTTCTTTACAAATGTGCGATGCGTAGGTACTTTAAATGATAAATCGGTAAACTCCGCTTAACGCATAATTTTCATAATTTATACGGAGGTCGCGATCATCTTGTAAGAGATTATAGGCAAGGCACACACGCTGTAAGGCTCTATAATTCGTCAAATTATGTTGGAATCTACAAAAAATGATCTCCGCTCTACCTGAATAGGCTATTGAGACCTGAATTCTAGGCTTGATTGGGCTCTAGATCGACCTTGAAAAAAATTGCCCGAAGCTTATAGGCTCGTTAAGCCTAGCCTGGGCTTAAATCCCCTTGAAAACAGACCCTATATTGCCGATTTAGTATGCTTGGTTATAGGCATCTACAGGGCTACCTAGTCTCCCCCAAAATGCCCGCGACCTCCGTAATGGCACAGACATGCATGAGAAGCTAGACAGCTTCTCATGCACGGACTCAAACCCCGGTAGATCATTGGTCTACCCCATCTTATCTTGTCCTAGTCAGGGGCTTCGTCCAATGTTGATTTCAAGCTTTTTTGAAGTCTCCTTCACCTCACATACAGAGAAAAATGTGTGGGTGTTCAGGGGATCAAGGTTGATTTTAAGGTTGAGTGCTTCGGTAAAACAAGGATGTTCAACCTACCGAGTGACATTCCACTCACGTAACCTCATCTTAATTAGAACCAATACTGATTGCAGGTGATGCAATTAACCTCCTGTATAGAGTTCCGAAGTAAGTATTTGGAGGGGAGCCGTTGGTAAATTAGTGGAACGTTGATTTCGTCATGATTTATCAGCGTTGGAGAGTTTTTAGAAATCATTGCGTTGTGCTAGAAACGGCGGGTAAGACTTGGCATAGTGCCAGTGAATAGCAGAAATGGTGAGATGATTGCAGTTGGCAACGATCAACCTCATTGGCAGATCTATCCATGTTTCCTTTTGTGAGAAACATATATAGAAGCTCTGGTCTTCTGCGATATAGATTCATTCCAGAGCTGACCACGGGTTTTGGAGTCGTCTTTCAGTCAAATCGTTCCTGCTTCAACTCGATCCAAAATGCATTTCTCAACTACCGGAGCGCTTGCCTTGAGCAGCATATTTGGCACTTCATTTGCCTGGGTGAACAATGTTCCAAATGATAATTCGACTCTCGACGAGCTTTACGCTGCAGCCCTCAAAGAAGATGGAAAATTGGTCGTAGCTTCAGGTGGTGATGGTTAGTAACTTTCTTCGATGACTAGCTTTGATCTCATTGCTTTTCGGCAAAAATGAATATGTATTGACAAATTTGTAGCTGGAGTCCAAGGTCAAAGCATGAAAACAGCTTGGGCAGCACGATTCCCCAACATTACTCTCGATCTTACTGTCGACCTCTCCAAATACCACGACAGTCGAATTGATCGCGCGTACTGGGCTAACAACGAAACTGTCGATATCGCTGTTCTTCAAACTCTCAATGATTTCCAACGATGGAAGGAAGAGGGGCGTTTAATGTTTTACAAGCCTCCAACTTTCACTGATCTCTACTCGGGAGAGACGGATCTAGATGGTGCCTTTTTGCCTGTTAACATTGGTTAGTATTTATTGCTTGATAAATTATGCTCGAGTATATGGTATTGATGAATTTCTCTAGGCAGCTTCGGATCTTTCTCCTGGGATAGTACTTATGTATCAGCATCCGAGGCTCCAACCAGCTACGCTGACCTCCTAGACCCCAAATGGAAGGGTAAGATTGTTGCCACCTACCCTAACGATGACGATGCAATCGGCTATCTTTTCTCCATCATCATCGAAAAGTACGGTTTTGAATGGCTCGATGCTCTTGCAGCACAAGATGTTCAATGGGTTCGCGGAACCGCTACTCCCGGGTTTGTCATGCGGGACAACCACAACAACGCCACCAGATCCGCTTCCGGTTCTTCCCCTAAAGGAAGAGTTCTCTCATTTACCACTTACCCACCTTCAAACGAAACGTACTTTCAAATGGCGCAACCAGCAGCCCCAGAACAGCACATGGCATGGGCACAAACTGCTGCGGCTTTTGCTTCCACAAAAAGACCTGCTACTGCTAAACTTTTCTTGGCTTGGGTTACCAGTGATGAATGGCAGAAGGCTTCAACTTCTGGATCACCTAGAAAGAGTTTGGATATCGGAGGCACGGTTTATACAAGTAACACAACACAGACTAGTCAGTTCAGACAGTTTATGCAGGATCGTAGAAGAGTTGAGTGGTGGAAGTTGCAGTATGAAACTACGTTGGGAACGGCTCAGGGTGTCAGTCCTTTGGCTTTGTACCCTTAGATGGAGGTATGAAATAGTATGAAATCGACAGGGACTGAGAAGTTGTAATGGGAATGATGAGACAGGCACGGATGAAAATGTTCATCAGCTGTGTTCAAAATACTTTTCACTTCGTGTAAATTATACTCGTAGTCTAGAAATACTTTGGGGTTGATTTGAACATAGCTAGAGCCCCAACTCCAGGTCCACTTGAAAGCCTGCCTCGAATTTGGAATCAGAAAATTACTCCAACGACATAAATTTTGACAACAAGGGCCGAATTGATCGACGGAAACATCTTGTGGTTTCGTCTTACAGTAGCAAAATCCTACGTGGTTAGTAGATTAATACGGTTGGATTTATACTTTTTTCTCTACGGCGCTGAGCGCGCAATTTGAATTTTGTGATTTGCTGAAAAGACTTTGAAATCATAGAGAGGATAGGGGCTTTCGAACATATGTTGTATTATATCTTAGTGGTAACTGATAGATTTCCTTGTGAAAACTTGTGACATAGGCCGTCAAAAATGAACAAAATTGAGTCAGTCTGTTGCGCGAAGGACGAATTTGAAAAGGTGTGTGACATCCAAACCAACTATTGACAAACGATCTAGTCTGTTCAGTGGTGTATTAGTACTGGGAGCGATTTGCAATCGACTGAATAAAAATGCAGGTGAATAACAGTTGAAGCAGATACTATTAGCTTGCATGCATATGTCCTCCAGAGGAAGGAAAAAAGTAATTGAATATGGCAGTTTACCTATTTCTCTGCAGTCAGTAGATATCAGTGTAGCAGCTATATTTTGTTCATAAGAGAAATCTAGGAACAAGATTAGAGGAGGGTTACCAAAATCTCTTCAGATGCAGGGAGATTCCTGAGCCCAAGCGCCTGGGATGAAAGTTGCAAGAGGTGAGTCTTCAATGAGCGACCAGAATTCTCCATCAATTCGATCAGTCGGTTCTGAGAACCAAAACCTCCAATCCTCTAGACGATGACCATATTTGAACCCAATGAGATGTACCTCTGTCCATCTCGGATAGAATCTGCAATAGGGTAAGTTTGACCGTAACGAGGGCCACTTAAGATCTTTGCTTTTGATTAAATTGAATAGACACATTACTTTCTTGCCGTAGTATTCAAGATCGACATCGTAGGACCTCAAGATTTGAAGCCAATAAAGCAATTCCCTTTCCAAATAACGAATCTCGATGCGGAATGAAAATTCTTTCAAGAGTCCTTGTAGAGGTGTGAGATTGAAACTGGACATGTAATTGAGAGGGATTCGTGCCGCCACCATTTTCAGGGTTAGAACTTCCTATGGTTTGGGATCAAGGATAGGGTCCCGAGAATTCGCAAAACGCGATTTCAATACAGAACTCTTTGCAGTAGCAAGTCTTTCGCACAATATCTCGAAAACATCCATAAGTCCTGGGTCACTTTTGTGCATTTTAACATTGGATAGGAAGTTAGGCCCACCTAAGAATGATCTGATGATGTTAGGGTTATGACTCCAATGGCCGACCTAGAGAAGTTTTCTGGCCGCAATGAGACATTTTTCGGGAAATAAGGGTTCTTCTAACAATGTATGTCGTTGAATGTAAGTGGAGACATTTTCATCCCCGGTACTAGCTTCAAAAATGCAACTATCACCAAGAATTTCCTCTTCTGCACCACCCTCGACCAGGATGCGGATCGATTCCAAAGGATCTGTTTTAAGTTCGCGTTTAGTGAAGGCTGCTCTCCTTACTATTCATTGTAAAGGGGTTGAACTGAAATTTTTGTTCAGCTTTCACCAATGGTCTGCTCTGTAGGAGGTCTCACCCTTCGTCATGGTCACGAGCTGAGACTTCAGCACCCTCCAACGAAAGTAATTTGCACAGGTCTTCATGACCACAACAGACCGCAATCTAGAGCCATCGGAGCAATAAAGTCAAAAGTCTATACTCAGAAGTGCATGCGAGACTTAGATGAAGAGGAGTTGCTCCCCAAACATCTCGTCGTATAAAATTTTGATAAATGGTGTTATAGAATCTATCGTTTGAAAATCCCATTCGTTCTTTTAGCATTTTTTGCATATTGAGAATATCGCCGCTAATGAGATAGTCGAAGAAAGCAGAGTTTTGGTTTAAAGTACGGTGTGTCTAGATATCGAAATTCCATCTCAAGGATGATGAGTCTTTGATGTACATATATTGCCATGCCCTATTAGAGATCCATGCTGGGGGATGGTACACAGCTTCAGATTTTTAGAAGGCACCTTTGTGGTTCTTTTCAATTACCTTTCGACTTTCGAGTGACCCAAAAATATATGTGACCTAACTTGAAAAATCATACTGGTCGGGTCTCTGAGTCAAGTTCTGTCCACTTAGGCTTTCAATCACCGGGATTTTTAATATGGACCTCGCGGTGATCGTACTGGGTTGTGGTAGACCTGCAAAATTCTTAGATCCTTGCGAACTAGATTGCGATGCACCCGAGACCGAGACATGACTTTGCCATTGTGTCAAAAAATGATGGAATACTTGTACGATCAAGGAAGCTTTCGAAGATTGCTGTTGTAACACGACACTTCTAACAGTCAGTATCTCGTTGATCTGTTATCATTTTAGGGGCTCACCTAGTCTGCCAAGAGATAGCTACGTGCATGGATCTCGTGGCACTCTTCATTCTTCTTTTCAATCTTTTTAGTTGCTCCGCCTTCAAGAGAACGTTGGCAGATCCCAATGTACGTTTCCAATTTCGATTGGAGTTGATATCTTTGGTCAAGGCGTCAACAAGCTCATCTAATTGCGAAGAAGCATCCTGACATAGCCTTATACTCTACTCAAATAATCCGCCTGTAGGTTGACATGAAGCTGTGAGCTACGCTTGCTTCTCCAAGACACTGCGAAGGATGGCATGACGACTTTCAATCTCGCGCACGAGAAAAGCGATGACGCCAGGTGCGTCCTGGATCTGGTCCTAGTAGTTTTTGAGCTTGATTATGCTAGATGCAAGGTTTCCAGCCAACTGCGCGATGCTGATCCCGCTGGCTATAGTCCCTAGAACTTCGGCTATCATAGATGATTGTACTAAAATCTATGTTCGATACGAATAAGGAAGTCTGAAAAGCTAGAAGATCAACTCTGAAAGTAAAAACAATAGAAGCAATTGGCAGGAACCCTCTTATTACACTGCACTAATGTGAGGCAGCTCAAGGCTCGATAGTTGTACAAATGCAGTCAAACGCTCGATGTCGCACCGAACGCTGCTTTGCCACCACTATGCGCAAAGTGGCACTAATCAAATGTTCGAAGTATGCCTGCCAGGAAATCTGCATTTCGATCAGGCAGTGTTGTGAGCCGTGCAGCAGCCATATAGTCAAGCATTACTAATCGTTGAGAAATTCGCACTGTTTGACGACAGTCAAATTAGTAGACAGATTTCTCATTCGATCCAATGATTATTGCAGATTGGAAGCTCGCACCCTCATTCGCAAATTATTAGCATTCTTAAGTCAATCGCCATGGCATGGACTGCGCCGCAAACTCAAATTATCTGCACTCAAACGGGGGACATAATGTCCTGCAAGGCTTTCACGAAGCCATGCATTTCGAACAAGCCTAGAGCTTTCTTCCTGTCTTCGTAAAGAAGAAAAAACAAGGGAAATTCCGACGGGAGTGTGAGTCTGTGATAAATCAAGATTTCTCGCTGAAGTGGTATCTTGTTGCGAGGCTGAGAAGGGATGGCGAAAAACATCGGAGGATAATGATTCCTAAGCTCGGGCCACCATACTATGGAACTTTCAGATTATTCAGTATTGGTCTACGACGTAGCATATTGGAATGATGTAAGTTTTCTATACTAAACTAAAAATTACAAGAACCTTTGATTATTGGTTTTAATATCTTGCTTATCAAAACTGGAACTGTTCAATCACATCCTCTCTCCCCAAGAAGCCACATCTTTCCACCAATCTCTCCCCCACTATTCCGCTGTTCAACCCATCACTTCCAAGCTTACTCATCCCCTTGTTTCCACCCCCTATGACAAAAACCTCTGCCTCCCCTTTTCTAGTGGGCCAGGCAGATGTCCACCCTGCCATTGATCCATTAATCTTCGACGGGTTCCCGTACTTTCCAAAAGAAATCCACGACAATGGCAAGCTCTTCGCTAACGCGTAATCACTTTCCGTGGGCTCAAACACATAACCCGGAAGGTCGAGATTCGTGATGTTGAAGAGATCAATATTGTTGAAAAGATACGCGAGCTCACTAGTGTGGATAACCCCAAACCCAGCCTCACCCGTAGCATCGAGATAGGAGGTCATGATTGTCTGATTGCCGACGTACATATATGATGGTGGGTTTGTAGTGTTGTACTTTTTAGCCATGGCTTGGCTGAAAAGGACAGTGGGGCAGGCGAGCAAGATATCGCGAAAGACCTGGGCGCAGCGATAGAACTCGGCACTTAAGTTTGCGCTGGGATCAGCTTGGAATTCGGATACAGGATACAGATCCAAAAGCTCGTCAAATGTAGTGGTATTAACGGCTGTGTATATATTGGATAGGAAATCTCTTGTGTCATTTGCGCTTTCAATGGTGGTCGTTGTGAAGAGTGTGGCGTCGTCTTCCATCCATCCACCAACAATAGGCAATCTGGCAAATTTCCCTTGTGCGAGGAGCTGCGATGCTTTTTGAGGAAGGAAGTCTTGGTCAACAATCGGGAGATAGTTATCTCCGTCATGGCTGTCGGCACTGTCGACTTCTTGGTCAATCATGAGTTTCAAGAGAGTCTCCATGGAGAGTGATCGTAAGCAGGCAATCGTAGCCATGGATTGATCATCAGTAGTATTGCATCCAGCAAAAGCAGCAACTGCGGCGGTGGAGTTGAAGCTGATATTGGATGACATAGTTGGCTCGAGTGCAGTACTTTCCATTATAGCTGCGTGGAAGGGTACAGGCCTTGAGCCTCCGTACGCGAGAATTTGCATACCCACGCTTAAACCTCCCGAGGACTGTCCGTAGATTGTCACTTGGTCTTTATCTCCTCCAAACATTTCAATGTTTTGTTGGATCCATTCAAGAGCCAATCTTTGATCTCGGAGACCAACATTGAGAGACCTGTCCGGTCTCAGAGCTTCAGAAGCTGCAAACCCGAAGATGTTGAGACGGTAATTCATTGCGACATAGATCACAGGCTCACCGCCTGCAACTGATGCATGGATAAATCCATCGGGTGCAATGGTCCTTTCGTTGACGGTCCCGTCAATCAATGCACCTGACCCTGTTAGTGGGTTTGAACAATGAAATTTGATAAACTCACTTACCTCCATAAATGTAAACCATGACTGGCAACTTTGAGCCAGCTTTCGCCCAAGATGGTCTGGCAATATTGAGATTCAAACAATCTTCTGAAATATTTGTGACATTTGTCTGGAACAAGAAACCCGAGTCTGAAGGCTGAGGGCAATCAAAACCCGCAGTCGTAGCATTGTGATGATAGCCGTGGGGAGGGACGAAAGCTCGGGGAGGTGCAAATCTGTTTTCACCACCCGTATCCAAACCATATCGGATCCCCCGGAAAGTTTCCACCCCTGTGCTAGAGGTAATTCCTGAGTACGAGACATTTGTCCTGTGGTGCAGAACATATGGTTTAGCGTTGACATGATCAATCAGTACAGATGAGATCAACAAACATGTCGTCGACCGCAAAGATGAGAAGAGCATCTTGACTTGAGGTGTATGGAGGTAAGAATTGAGACGAATGACCTGGGAAAGTTTTCGAGACTACCACGTCAATTTTGTATAGAAGCTGCATATCCGATGATTCCATTCAAATCTATGAATCCCACTCTGATCAACATATGAAATTTGTTCTCGTAAATGAGATCTACGAATAGCGTCCGATTTGAGTTAACTCGTATAAAGCTACTAGCTCCACTCAAAATTCCGAAAGATTGATCTCAACCCTTTAGCCTCTAAGACACTAAGGATTTAACTTTTAAGATTAATATCAGCAAGCTTCGAAAGCTATAAGCATAGGAAAAGAAGTGTGGTTTAGCTATAAGATATCTGAAAATTGCCCATCAAGATTTCATCATAACCGATTTCCATATCATCGATTCTTTACACATTAAACCCCTTTCACGACACGTACTAACGGTGGGTTCAGGAGAATTAATTCATCTCTACTGATACAGTCAGAAGTTTTTCAAAAATGCGGATTCGCATAATCCCTGGCTGGAAATTGATTGATGCAGAAAATATCGCAAGCAACATGCTTGCGATAAAATGCTGGCGATCTTATCTGATGATCTGATTGAATCTCAAAGATGTCACCATGCACCGCCTATGCCAAAAGGAGGTGACTATATGGAGTAGCTTAAAGTAATTCTTCTTCAGTCTCGATCCATGGATTCTGGAACGGAGAAACGCATATTCCGTACTGTATTAACTCAACGATTTCATGTTAAACTGGCCCTCTTCAAATAATGTTGTCGCTTATCCCCTAGACCGCCATTATATGATGCCTCGCTTAACAGGGATCTTAGTGACCAATCAGAACATCAGGATTCTGAGAATTCTTATAATATTAAAACTATATTCTGTAATAACTATTGAAATATTTATTATTATTATATAAAGAAATATTATATTCTTTATATCCTTATTTGCTTTTATATCTTACTTTTTTTTATATAAAATTAATAAACTTCTTTTTCAATATAATTCTTTTTGCTTTATAAAACTATTCCTTATAAATATGATAATCCTTTTTACTTTTCAATTATACAAAATGATGATCTTGAAAAGGGTTATAAACCTCAATTAAAACTAGTTAAATCTATTTTATATATTTAGAATAACATTTAAGCTTAAATTCAGCAATCAATTTATTAGTAAGAGATTTTCGAAAATTATTATGCTTAAGAGATTTGATTATAGAATGCTTTGATATAATTTCTTTATGAATCAAATAGTAATTAACTAAAATAGTAATAAAAAGTTATTATTCTAAAGCTTAATAACCATTACATCATTATTATCGATATTCTAATATAGATATATATAATTAATCCTCTATATTAATAGTATTTATATTATAATTATAATTGTTAAAAAGGATTGAAATAGGTAATTCTTTTTTGTGTTTATTTTCGAATAGTATTTAAGCTGTTTTAGTTTTCGAAAAGGTAATTTTCTATAGCACGCTACTCGGTAGCATTGCTTACCTAAGCAAGTGTGTATATAATAGTGTAGTCTTGATAAGAAGAATAGAACAGCTTTATTATAATTATTAAAATGCTTGTTATATTTGATAGCAAGTTTGAATTCAATTTAATCTTTTTATTTAAAATATTTCTTTAAATTAAATATAATTGAAAGAGACCTTAAGGATTACTAATTGTTAGAGTATTATTAGGGACCTTAAATTTCATATCCTTTAGCAATTTAATACTGATTAATGAAAATGAAAACTATTATTCAAGTTTATTAATTACTTACTTTTCTATAGATGAAATATCAATCTAGTAAAATAATTTCTGAGAAATTGTAATTTATTATTAAGAATATCTATAAAAACAATATAATAATTTTAAAATAAATATTAAATTTATACAAGATAGAAATATTATAGCATTATACCCATTCCGCCTATATTACTCCTGAAAGCTTTCCGTCCGATTAAATAATTAATAAAACAATTCTAAAACGAATAATAAAAACCTTTAAAAAGAAAATAATATATTATACTCTTTTATCTTTTATTATAATAATAACCCCAAAATTGACTTGAAATTTAAAAAATAGAAGTAAAAATTAAATAAACAAAAAATTATAATAAAAAAAGGGAAGAAGTTTAAAATACAATTTTAATATTTATTCAAATAATTAAGGATTTGAATCTTTAAAGGATTCTTTATAAAGTTCATTTCTATCTTATATAGTCTTAATTACAATTATATCTATCATTAAATTAGTAAATCTATTAAAGCTAATACAAGGTACTATATTACACTTTTAAATATTATATATACCCTTACCGTTAGAACAACATTTATAAAAGTAATTATACAGATAGAACATTTGAAGACAACTAAGCTAGCTTTACTTTAACAATTTAATAATACCTCAATTATTATTAAATATGTTAGGAACGAATAACTTTTAGTTTATAGGGTTCGATTATAACCATTAGGCAGGAGATAACAATATATTTGAAGCAATAGTAACGCCACTACTTTTTAATGGATATAAGAAATATAATACAAAAGGACTATTTAGGTAAAGAGAAAGTAGTGTTTTTAATAATAAAGGATTAAGTACCTATAATTAGTTGGAAATTACCTTATTATAGAGTAATATAATAAATCAACCCGAAAACATATCTTTCATATTAGCATAATTGGAGTAAATATCAGCAGTAATTGTATAGCAAATACATCTACATGTATTACCAATAGTATCATCGGATCCCCCGAATACAATATAACTGGTGTACCAGCTATTCTTAAAGACAAATGAGGTGGACTATTTCAATCTTTTAGAAGAAGACACATATAATATCGAAATAATAATAGTAGAAAAGTCGATTATGTACATTAATGTATATGCCTTTTTATTTTGATTTAGGCACCTTGTATTAACAAATAGTAATATAATAATGATTAAGATTTTTCCTAATTACTTATATGGGGTGGCACATGCCTGGCATATTACAAAACTAATCAATATGGAGTGAACATTTATTGTAACGATTACAATTGTGATCTTATATAATATTCTAGAAAAACGTTTCAGAATATATCCCAGGGTAGTTATACAAAATCTCCTTAAAGATTGATATAGAATAAAGGATTTGTAAAACAATTATATAATCAGAAACTTTGTTAATATAATACTACAAAATGTTAAAGTAATTGGTATGATATCTGAGTACAATTAATTTATGGTCATTTAGAACAGTCTCGCCCTAGATTTCCAATTACATATCAAATATCCTCAATTGGAAACTTAATTATCAGAATTCTTTAAATAAGTTAATAATTTAAAACTAATTTTCTAGGTAATTGTATTCTAATTGTTGGTGAGAAATAGAAATCAATATGAAAATCGTAATCTTAATTATAATGGAATTCAAATAAATTAATATTATAACAATAATTATCAAGGATAGAGTGGATATTAATTAAATCCATATCAATTTCGATAATAATATTCTAATTAACAATTAATAGATTAGCAATAATATTAAGATTAATAGTAGAATATAGGAAGTAAACTATTACTCGTATTGGAAACAAATAGATCTTAATCAAAATGTATCAGACTAATACAGAATAGTTATAAGTAATAAGACAATTACCAAATTTATAAATCTAAAGGTCTAAATATTGGATAAGTGTAATAGAGATAACTATAATCTCAATAATATAAACAAAAAGCTTTTCAAATAATAATGAATAAATCATTTGTTATAAATATTTTGAATAAAAAGTATAAAGTAGAAGTAGGTTTTCTATAAAAAGATAACTTTTTTCTAATTGATTATAATCAGGAGGAACCGGCTTAAAGGGAGTTAGATAATTATAATAAATATAGCTGGAATATAGTATTATTATTTACAGAGTTGTTTAGGTTTAGAAAAGGAATAGATGAATATTGTAATGAATTTATGAACTACTTTATTATGGTAACATTGTTAATTATGTGATTAGTATAATCTGTGAATTATAGATATTATAAAAAAGAGTTTAGTTTTTACAATAAATTGTTTAAATACTTATAAATAAATCATATACTTCTGAACAAAGAATAAACAATATTATTCCAAATAACAAAAGTATAGTAAAATAAGAATTTAAAGTAGATAATATTCTTTAATTTTGTTGTTAATATAGAGAAATATATTAGTATTGAATATAGATTTAAAGGCTAGTATTTCATTATAACTCATATATAGCTCAATATAAAAATGAAGTTTATAAAGGTTTATTTGAATATAGATTTTCAAATAATAATGATTGAAAAAGAATGATTTATTGATTTATTAGAGAATATATAAATATATATTTAAACAAAATTGATAAAAGTAGAAGATATAAAAGCTAAATGTATTTGATTTATTGAATATATTATCATTACCTTTATGTTCTTAGGCATTTGAGATGATAAGTTAGTTACAATATATTTCAAATATGAGGTATATTTAATAAACAGGCTAAATGCTAAAATGATTATAGAAAACGATATTTTAGTATTAAAAGAAATTAATATTTTAATATTTAAAAAGTAAGCGATAATTAATTTATATAGAGTTTTAATACTCATTGTAATATTAATATATAAATTAAATCAAAAATGTATTATAATAAAAACAAAAACAAAAATCAAACTAACTTTAGGTTAAATAGTATTAATCCCAGTATAATATAAAGTAAGAGATGAAAATAAAGATTTACTATTTAAGTCAAAAGAGATATTATTATTCTTATATATATATTAATATAATATTAACTTTATAGTAATACTGATATATAACGATTCAGATAATTATGTTACTCTACTGGCAGATATTATAATCGGAAATTTGGTAGATTTTGATTTCGATAAAGTTTATAAAGTAATATATAATGTAGTAGAAATATTAAATTTAATAATTAGAGAATTATTATACCCTATCGCAGCCATCATTTATATCATATTTGGGGTAAGCGAAATAGTTC